TTGAGCGTAATCTCTCCGATAATTGGGTCATTTTGAGAGTAATCTCTCCGATAGTCGATCCACATTGAGAGTAATCTCTCTGATAGTCGGGCCATTGAGAATAATCTCTCTGATATTTGGGTCAGGATGAATATCCATCCCCTCACACCCTAAGACTGTCTTCTTTATGCGTGAATCATCTGGTTGTACAAGAATATATCTTTCTCGCTTGACCTAAAAAAAAGGACAACAAAACAAGAAAAGTACAAGAAAAGAAGAAGAAATTACCTTCGCATTAATGCTTCCGAATTCACAAAAATAGACTCAAGTGGCTTGCGAAGATTGGGAATTGATGCCCAGCAAATACGAGCACACGGGTTTATATAGATGGCAAAAGAGAACATTGGGAAGTCTGTTTCTCGATATGGGATGCGTGATTATCAGTATTGGAAAAGAAGAAAAGCTGAAGCGGTGAAGGTCTCTTACCTACGTATGGTTGAGATGTGAAAATTCAGTACTACTAATTAGTTCCTATAATAATCAGCCCCAGAACATTAATTTGAAAGAAGTTTGAACTGGACACTTTGCTATAATTTAGCGCACATAAACTGAACATCATAATCTTGAAGAAGTTACGTTTAATTAGGATTAGGATAGCTTACGTGGAAGGCTGAAGAAAACCCAATTCACTTTAACTTTAGCAATTGCTATTAGTTAATATGACAACTCTCTGCTACTTCACGTGACTAATATGGAAAATTCTTACTATTTCCTTCCACCCAATTGGAGAATGAAATCTCATCACTAGAAGGCAAAACTACATCAAGGGAATTAATAGACATGTGTAACTGTGGTCCAATGCATTAACATGCAAATAAGTCGCACGGATATTTATTAATTTCATATAGCATTAATTTAATACTTCAAGCCTAGTCTTAAAAAGTTTAGCCACCTCAACAAATCTTGAAGTAGGGGGTATTTATAGGCATATAAATTTTATTAAAATTAAATTTATAAAATAATTTGGGTTATGTTTTAAATTCAAGATATATTAGTCCAAATAAATACTACGGGCTAATACAATTGAATTAATTATATAAGTCCAATATATATGAATTAAATAAATAAGTCTTAATTCATTGGGCTAAAGTGATGAACTCACTTTATTAAGCCCAAGATGTCATCTTTCTAGAGGCCAGTTTGGTGCCACGTGTCAAATGATTTGGCAGGCCAAATCAAACGGAAGAGCCAATAGGATCATGCGACATGTCAAAATGACAAGGCATGCCAAGTCACGCTAAAAGACCAATGAAATCGTGCCACGTGTGCAAGTGACATGTTCTGGCCAATCAAATGTGACCATGTTACACTACAATTTGATTGGTCGGAAAGAGTTTGTTCTTATCATAACTCTTCCCTCCCACAACTATAAATAGGGGTTTTCATAACCCAGAAGAGACACTAGAAGTTGTAACAAGAAGCAAGAGAGAGCTCGTGGATCAAACACCGCAAATTTCTCTACAAGTTTCAAGCTTCAAGCAATCAAGTTCAAGTTCAAGAAATTAAGTTCAAGCTCAAGAACAAAGAACGAATCAAGATCAAATTCAAGCAATCAAGCTCAAGCTCAAGAACAAGATCATCGTTCGTGGAAACAAATATAGATTCAAGATCAAGCTCAAAGACACTTGAATTTATTTACTATTGAAAAGAAGAATTAGAGGATTCATAGAGATTGTAACACTCAAATATTCGAAATAAAATATTACGATTGTTACAATATTTTTCGGTCTTGATTTTATATTTTCTAGATGTAAAGTTATTGTTTACAGTAGCCAATGCAATAAGTTTTTGGCTATAACTTGCAATCAAATATAATGGGCTAGCGGTTGTCGTAAGTTAGTGCCGAACGGCCAATTAAGTAAGTATCTCTGACATATTAGTCCGGCCCCATTAGGATTCCAGCTAGGACTGTTTAAAAGTTGTACTCCTGGGCCTGCCCATTCTGATAGGGCCTTAATAACTATAAATCTTTTGGGCCATTCTTTCGAGGATTTGCATGTATACCCGTTTTTTGTGTCATGTTTTAACTTGTGCCCGATTTGCAAAAAAAATTACAAGCGTACCCATTTTTTCGCATAATTTCAGCATACGGGGCTGAAGTAGTAAAGGCAATCACGCAAAACTTCAGTATTCTAGTAGACGGGCCTGAAGTAGCAAGTATTTTGAACCAAGTGTGCTAAAGTTTTTGTTCGTAATTGCTGGACTAAAGCATAGTAGCTGAAGTTTTGTTCTCTATTTGCATTGCTGAAGTTTTTGTTTTGTAACTGGCGAACTTCAGCTCAAGAGCTGAAATTTTTGTTTTTGGCGAACTTTAGCTCTAGAGCTGAAGTTTTTGTTTTGTAACTGGCGAACTCTCTAGAGCTGAAGTTTTTGTTTTGTAACTGGCGAACTTCAGCTTTTTATTTTTGTAACTAGAGCTGAAGTTTTTGTTTTGTAACTGGCGAACTTCAGCTCTAGAGCTGAAGTTTTTATTTTGTAATTGGCGAACTTCAGCTCTAGAGCTGAAGTTATTTAGTTCATTTGTAAAAGTTTCAGCACTATATAAGCAATGGACATTTTATTTCTTATTGCATATAACTATATAAGTAACTTGGTGTTTCCTTGTCATGGCAAGATGCTAAATTTGTGAATTGCTTTCACTTCAGCCTGAAGTTAAGGGTGAAAAGGACATGGTGCCAAACAATGACCACTTGCAGATCCATTCGTATTTCTTGACTGGAATACAGTAATGTAAGAAAATTTTCGTCTTATCATTGAACCAGATATGTCTACACAAAATTTTAATAACTGAAGTTCCATAGCAGCATCAACAGCAGCAGAAGAAAGAAGAAGAAGCAAAAGAAGAAGAAAACGAAGGAGGAGGAGAAAGGGGGCTGAAGTTATTTAAAAAGTGGGTACAAGTTAAAAGTTTTAAAAAAAAATAGGTATATGTTAAATGGGGGCGACCAAATAGGGTGCCCTATGCAATTTTTACATTCATGTCTCACCTGGCTATAAAATAGGGGAAAAGGTGTATTATATGGAAAATTTTATTTTGTGTCTCATACAACTGACACTAGTTGTATGAGGCAATATTTTTGTCTCACAGTTTTATGGACCCAGATTTCTGTGGACCCATAAGTGTAAGATTGAGGTCCACAAATTTGTGAGACAAAAAAGAGTCTCATACAACTAGTGTCAGTTGTATGAAATACAAAATAAAATTTCTTGTATTATATCTAGGACTTTCGAGAAATTCATGGTATTTGTAAACTAGAGAGTTTAATAGTAATATTTTTATTCACGAAAATGAATTAGAATTGTATATTTTTGAATTTTGCTGAAAGAACATATTGATTTTCTGGTTATACAAAATAGAACAGAAGAAGAAGTATTTACCCATAAAACTTTGATCATATAAATTAATCCTTTGTGGAGTATAACTCGTCTGAAACATTTCCCTACAAAGACAGTGGACAATGTTTGAAACTGACAAAAAGAAAAAGTAGATATTTAACTTCAAGTCATGATGCTGTTTATAACTTTGCTGTCGTTTGGTTGCATAGGAAACAAGTTATTACAAAATTAATTATCTTAGAATTAGTTATCTTGGGATTACTTACCCTATCCTTTCATAGGGATAAAGAAACACTAAAATTTTGAAATAATTAATTTCGAAATCAGTTATATTACGATTTTATTTCAATCAAATATAAAATAAATTTATCTTATATTTAATCCTAAGATTAATTATCCTTTATCGGTCGTAGCAAACGAGCGACTAGTGCTTACTATTGCCTTTCGTCTAGGTTCCGTATCTCTGCAACATATTTGTCAAAATAAATAAAACCAGTGTCAGACAATTTGCCAACGAATAGTCAAACAATAATTCAGCGGAGGACTCATATCACTAAATTTTAAGTGATCTAAGTGAATAAATATGCCATTTAGCAAATTTATGAGCTTATAATAATAATAATTTAATGCAACTTGGGAGATTCTATCGTAAAATATGTGCTTGTAATCTAAGATCGCAGCATCGAATCTTACTGGTGTGCGGCTAATATTTTTTCCTAAGTAGGCGTTTGGACATAAGAATTGTAAAATTTCAAAAAATGGTGAAATTTTTTTTCAAGTGAAAATAATATTTGAAATAAAGTTATGTTTGGACATAAATTTTACTTTGGGTTATTTTTAAATTTTTGTGAGTGATTTGAGTAAAAATTTTGAAAAACAATTTTTTGGAGTTTTTCAAATTTTTGAAAATTTCCAAATGCATCTTCAAGTGAAATATTGAAATTTTATAAACAAACACTCATTTCAAAAAAAGTAAAAATTTTTTGGAAAAAAAAAAATTGTATGTCCAAACGGGCTCTAAGACTAGAATCCCAAAGAAACTCTTTTTCCAAAACTCTTGGTACACTGTGAAATTAGGCTGGCAATGCGACCTTCTTAGCTACTTCCCATTTCTTGCTAGCATCATCACTAGGACAAGTATTTATGTTCCCGCCGTTGCCATATTGAGTAGAGTTTAATTATAAGTGGCGAGCATAGGAGCGAACTACTCATTAAGTGCCGCCTCCGAACTTTTGACTTAAGGGTTCAGGCAAATTATATGACTGTTTTCTATCTATATATACACTTATATATTTAGAATTTTTGTGGAAGATAACGGGTCTAGTGGCCCCTCTTTTCCAAACACAAATCCGCCTCTGGTGTTATTTTTACGTAAATCTTTTAACTAATACAGTTGCAACGCAAATCTTCTCCGAGCATAATTATTGCAGTTATTTATAATCTAATAAAAATAATAATTGACTTACTATTGCTAATTTACTATAGAGTATCTATAGCTAGTTAAACTAATAGAGTAGCATAATACTTTTACATTGTCGGTGTATTTTTTAAATCCTATACCCCAAGAAAGGATAGGGTGGAGTGGTTTATTTCCTTGTGCTATAAATTCATGATACATCACTCTTCCTTTTGCTTCACATCCAAGCTCAGTATATCCGAGCTCTCAGTTTTCTCCTTTGTACCCCTTTTCTTTGTTACTGAAAAATGGCATTCCAAAAAGCATTTGCTGCTTTGCTTATTGCCTCCTTCATGCTTTTCCATTTCACTAATGCCTTTCAAAAGGTTCTTCTATTTTAAATCTCAAATAGCACAATCATGTTGTTAACTCTTTCAACTTGAAATAACATTTGATTTTGGAATATTGGCGCAGGTTGACTACAGCGAGCCATCAGCACCAGCACCAGCCCCTCAAGTTTCACAGCCACTAAGTAATGTGACATTTACGTATTTCCTTCACAACAAACTAAGGAGTATAATGTTTTTATATATATCTAGTGTCTATATGTAGTTTTTAAATTTCTGATGCAGTTATATTCTTTTCCTTTTGTTGGGGTGCTGGTTAAACAGATTGCACAGGAGCCTGTGAATATAGGTGCAGCAAGTCGTCTCGGCCAAATCTATGCAACAGAGCATGTGGAAGCTGCTGCCATAGATGCCACTGCGTGCCACCAGGGACCTCTGGCAATTATGAAGCTTGTCCTTGCTATTTCAACCTTACTACTCATAACAACACCCGCAAATGTCCTTAAAATTTATCAGCCAAAGTTCCTCTAGTTTGTCGTTCTCCAAAGGGAGTCTATTTTCAAAAGCAAGTGTAGCATTAAGCTTATTGGATTGTGTTGTGTCCAAATAAACAAGCCAGCTGTTCATTTTGATATTCAATTCATTTGTTCTCTCTGTGTACGAGGTTTGTAATTGAACAATGGATATTTATTTGATATTCTATCTCTATTTCTATTGACTTATCGTTCCATTTGTTGTGCATAATATGGGTCATTCATTGAGAGATTCCTTTGTTTTTCGAATTATATATCTTGGCTGATATTATTAGAGAAGTAAAACAATAATAGATCATGTAAGAGGGGATTAGGTTCGAACCTCCTAGATATAGTTTAATAATACTAGTACTGTAAATTCTGGAAAAAGGACCACACAACTTTCATCTTTATGCTATTGAAAATATCCCAATTTATGTGGTACCATTTGATTAGACATGTTTGTGTGCCTATAACTCATCTCATTAAGACTAAAGAAAGAATTTTATAATTAACTTGTTTCTAAATATAAAAAGATAATATTCTTTTTGGGGATAGATTAAAAAGAAGAAGGTGTAACATAAATTAGGCGGAAGGAATACTAAAAACTGAAACTTAGCAAGAATCGATAGCCATAAAAAGGTACACAAAATTGCTTAGGAAAGAACAAAAGGAACGAACGTAGAATTCTTCTTAATTTGTCAATATGGTGTTAAAAAAATAAAGATATTGACGCATATATCTGCCAAATGAGTCAAATTTAATTGAGAACTGATCTCTAATATGTATTGAATAGATTTTTCAACGTACGTTTTCATAAACATCCACGTGCGATGCTATATATCTTCTTCGTTACTCCAAACAAACAAGGCCGACCGTCATGATGTGACTTTGAAGGAACCTCTAATTGATGTTAATAATGTAGTTGAGGTGCCAATGTTTTGAACATATCTTCTACGCACTCCAACTAGTAGTTGTCCAAGTGCTTTTAACCCAAAGAAACCTTCACTTGTAGCTATAGCGGCATTGATCCAAACTTCGCTAAGGAACAAATTAAAGGAGGTGCACAAGGCTAGTAAAGATGTGAAACTCAGGGGTCGTTTGGTAGTATAAGAATATTGCGGAATAAGATGTATTAGTAATGCTTGTATTAATAATGCATGGGTTAGTAATGCAAGCATTAGTTATGCATATATTATTTCTTATCTACTGTTTGGTGTGGTGTATTAAAATTATAATGCATTGTATAATTTTTAAGAAAAATAGTTGTTTACAAAAATGCCCTCCATATTGTCGAACTTTAAGGGACTTTAAGGATAATTTTGTTTTTAACCATACTAATGCATGCATTAATAACCTTGGTATTACTAATGCCATGGTTTTCTATGCATTACTTATACATAGGATAATACCAAGTATGATGTATAACTAATCATACGTTGAAAAAATGTACCAAACAAGATATTAGTAATGCATAGAGCTAATGCTTACATTATTTTTTCTAATACCTCCTACCAAACGACCCCTCAGTATCATGTTCTAATTCATCATCATATAATCTAATTAATCATGCTACGGTTCAAACTATTAACTGGTAATATACAGTGTCGGAAGCAGGATCTTCACCATGAGGATTCAAAAAAATTAAAAAGCAAAGACACGAAGAAGCTATAAGGGGATTCAACATGCCGACAAAAAAATTGATCTTATATACACAATGTTATTTTCAGACGAAAAGAGCTCGGCTGGACTCCCTTCCGCGCACCTAGCTCCGACCCTATCATACCTATTTAGCTTTAATAGTGGTATATGTTGTTCCCTTTGAACATATGAGTAGATTTTCTTTGAACCTATTCACTGGTACTTACTCTTTTATAATGGATCTACTCTCGTACTTTGGATTCATCATGTTTTTTCTTGTTTATCGTCAAATTTGGAGATGCAATTGAATGAAAAAGAGCAGTACATATGTAGGTTTCGAGGATGGTACAGTTCATCAGTGGAACATCAATTCTATTACGTACGTCTGTATTATATATGCTCACAATTGATGTTACATTTTGCAACATTATTTGGAGGTTTAAAGAATGACGTTGGCTGTTGAGAAAGTTGTTATTAATATCTTTTGTATTATGGACTGATTCCAAGTTCCAACCCAGACATACAATAGTTTATCAGAAAATGCTGGAGCATTCCATCAAATATATACTTACTTTACCTATTAGTATATTATATACTGCACAACTCATTTGTTTAAGGGATCTTGACTTACGAGGGCTAATATCTATTTCTTAATGAACACTAATATACTTATTCATAGGAACAAGGTTTCAAATTTAAGGATTACGTAGAAGACACTGTTAACCACATAATTCTAAATGACAAAACGCTTGAAAATTCTTTAGCTCTTCAGATAGCTAGTAAATGGGTCAAATTTATTTGGACAACAGAGTAGTGTCCCCAATCAAGAATTAAGTTGACACATTTGAAAATGAAATACTAGCATAAAGGCAACTCTCAGCTCAGATAGTCAGATAATATGAGAGAATAAGCGTGCAAACATGATAAGAGAAAAATACAAAAATGAAATAGCGTTTTCTTAACGTAGTTCAACTATTATTGTTAATATTATTAGCAATTAGTTGGCTCTACAATCATGTCAGAAGAATACTTGGCAACATTAACGGGTAAAGAACTCAGTACCTCCCCATTACCTCTGTATAGTTTCTGTGTGTTGCATGTTACCCAGTACTGTTATAAACCTGTTAAACCAAAAAATATGTATCTTGGTTCAAATAATTAAATTTATGTAATTAGGGGTTAAACCTAGTTAACAATAATATTTCTAGATAAAACTTTCAAGGGTGCAATAATCAATGGGCGGGCTCGGTTAGATAGTAATGACAACATGCAATAACTGTTCTAAAAGGCATGAGCAATAAAGTAACATTCAATAGCAATGAATATCAATGAATGTCATTTAAGTAAATAGGAGGAATGATTCGCCCAATAAAGGATGAAATAAATGGATGTTTCTCCTGACAATGATGAATGACAGACAAATCCTTGAATATTCGAGTTATTCTCGGATCTGATGGAAAAGTATAGAATAGTATGAACTAGAATCTTAGTGAAAAGGTGATGTTTGTATCTTAGCAGGAGAAAGAGAATCTTTTGTCAAAGTGAGTTCTTACAAGTGAATATTACATGCCCCTCTCATTATCCCTTTTCTCTTTCTCTCTCTCTCTCTCTCTCTCTCTC